CAAAAAAAATAAAAATAAAAAAGTTATACATAAAAAACCATTTTTACAAAAAGGAAAAAAAGGGGTTTTCAGGCTTGAAGCTCCCGAACTCTGTCCCTACTACTAACTTAACAATATAACAACAAAAAAATATATTAGAATTCTACTCTAATGAATTTCGGAAAATGTAAGATTATTTATTTCTAAGCTTTAAAAGGTTTGATCACTGTGATTTGCATTACTATGAGGGCAAAAATTACTACCAATACGTAAATCCACATGTTGAAATAAAATTATGTAAATTTTAAATTGAATAGAATTATCACTTAACCAAATAATTGCTCCAAGGTTCAACACTAATCAATTTCGTAAAAATCTATAAATTACCAACAAATTAGTAGAAACAAACTACTAGAGTGAAACATCAGAAATTACACTAACAAAGGAAGAAAAAAAATGTTCATTCTACCTCCTACCAAAGATCCAGTGTGAAATTTTAGCTATTTTATATTCAAATAAACCAAATAAATCCATAAATACTATACCCAATAAATTAAAACATTGAAATCTCAAATATGCTCAAAGAAATTACACTAACAAGAGGAAGAAAACTGACCTCTGATAATATATTTCCTCATGAAAGGCGTATAACACCAAGGGAAATTATAATATAAAAGAAAAAAAATAAAAATAAAAAACCTATATATGAGAGGAAATGATTTCTACTCGGGCCTAACTTTTTAAACTAAAAAAGGCCCATATTAACTATCGACCCAAGTCAAACAAAAGGAAATTTGATTTATGTCTTCTTCTTCCTCTGGTACTGGTTGTCTGGTTCTTTCTGTCTTCGGCTCTTCCGCCCTTGCTAATGCAACGCCCGGCGGCTCTGAACATTTTGGAGGACCCCTGACTCGTCGTCGGTCCAATTGGAGCATAGAAGCGAGAGGCGAGCTGGAGAGGAAAATAGTTTCTTCTTTCACAGTTTACTTTCTTCGTTTAATTGGAAAAAAGAAAAAAAAAATTGGCTATGGAAACGAGGCCCCCTTCTGCTTTGGCCCTGAGGCGCAGGCCTCATTCGCCTCGCCTTAGAATCGGCTCTGACCAGGTTGCACCTCACAAATTTTAACCGTGATGGGCCATTAGGGCATTGTTTGAGCCCTATTTTTGAAAGAATAGATTTTGTAATAGTGATGTTTTTAGAAAATGTGTAGTTAAAACGTAAGAAAGAATGTGATTTAAAATAAGTTTCGAAAAAAATAAATAAATTAGAGAATAAGGTTCAAACAGGAGCTACATGGAAGAATGCTGCTATGCCCTTCTTTAATTTTGGGTGCCTAATTCTTTTGCACGTGAGTGGGAATGCAAATGGGGCCGTGCTAGCTGATCAGGCCACGCCGACCTTGTTCGAACGGCTTTTTCCCATGCGAATGACTTACCACCGGAAAGTCTCGATATTGACTAAACTCAGAACCCAATGCCCCAAAATCGCTTTTTCACAAGGTTGTGAGAATCTCATAAATCAGCCTTTTCCGATACCTCGATGTGGCTTTTTTGTCCTCTAGTTGTGTAATTGTTGGTCAAAATATCTTTGACCATAATTATAATTAATCCATCCATTTTAAAAACCATTAATTATTGTACCGAAGCAATGTTATGTGTGCCACTGCGGGTCTCAGCCTTCTTAGTCTTTTTGACGCCTTGACCCACTCTCGACCAATGCACGTGGATGACTAAACAGCACATTTTGCATGTTCTGCTCAGCACGTACTGAAAATGCGCGTGACATCAATATATTATTCTTGTCACGTGCACGACTGACTGCTTAACGGCTCTTTTAATTGTTTATTAAAAAGTTGAACCCAAAGCTACCTCGTCCTTAGAGCTTTGCGAGTGAGGTAAATTTCAGGATGTGTCATAAAGAACAAAAGCTGAATGTACACTGCGTCTACAAGAAGTCCAATTCTATGTCTCAAAAATCGAACCCTCATATTGCGGCTGTCAGCAAGGTGTAAAATAACTTCACTCCTGTCCTTTGTACCACTGAGCTCTGTCTCGAGGCTCTTTTAATTGTTTATTGATTATTAATTAAATTGTGTTTGCAGCTAATTACATACACTTTTGATAAATTTAAGATTAATTATTTATTTATAGACTGTTGAGCACAAGGATCTCTATCGTTTTGTTAAATTGGTCCCTTTTGTTACTGTCCATATTATCTGGCCACGTTCGATGACATTTAGGACACGAAATATCACATTCTGACATGACCACAATAATAAAGTTGCCTTAATCCATCCACTATGCCGTAATAGTTCAAACTCTATTGTCATCAATCAAGTTATCCAATGTCCCATACTTGTGGCAAGTCTATTTTCAATTTTGAAGACTATTTACTTCAATTGTGTAAACTTCAATTTTGAATACTTGTTACATATCGGTAAGAAGAGCCATGTTAAAAATTAAATTCGAGAAATAAATGTTGATTCACATGTTTTAAGAACTCAAATTTTATATTATAATAAGGGATTCCAATTCAAGCGAAACAAATGAAAGAAGACAGAATTTATTGGCGTTGTCTACTTTTATTAAAACGTTAACTTCATCGTTATTCTATCGTTTGTAGATAAACCATGAATCCTGTCAATGATTGTTGTTTTTCAGGATTGATAACGAGTTTTGCTATTGACATGTCGCTCACAAGAGCGGAAGCGAACGAATGTCTGAACTTGAGCACTAGTAACTATCGTGTGGAGCACGGGAAAGTTGGAACATGAGGGTTAAAAAAAATTGTAATACTTTATACTTTTCAACTATAGGGAAACGCATAATGAATCATTAGTAGGTAAAATTCCCTCCGATCGAGCACTCCAACGTATGGAGGAAATTATTTGTTATTGAGTAACAAACAATAAACTCCATTCAACATGAAATAATGATTACTTTCGAGGAGACAGGATAAAAGTTAAATCTAATTAGTACACAATTGGTTGTTGGCGTTGCTATAAGATTATGATTCTATCAAACCCTAAAAGAGGAATGATACAAACGATAGGGGGGATTCATGGTAAAGCAACAATTATTCTAGCCTATTTCTTGTCTGATAATTTGATGTTTGGACCCATTTTTGCCTCACCATTAGAGCTAACTTCCAAGTAAAGAATCCATTCACTGAATATATCAATACCCCACCTCGAACACCATTCTCAACCTTACATTCATCCAAGGCTAAAAACATAGCAGTAAAAATCAGTCCAAATAAGAAAAAAATGGACTTGGATAGACCCCATTTTCGTAGTGGAAGCATAAACTCTACAAGTGAGCTTCTCATTTGCTTTGCTTCTGGCTTAACATCTTCATCATCCATGAAATTTTCTAAGTCAATCCTCAGCCCGGGCCGTGCCCGTGACGGTTCAATCTCTCTCTCCACCTCTCTCAGCCGCCGCCTCCGCAATGGCAGCCTCAAAGGTGGCCAAGCATCGCCGTTTTTAGCTAACAACGGTAAAAAAAGAGGATGCGGTTTTGAAAACCCAGAGCCCTCTTCCCCTAAAGTCACTTGCATTGGCCAGGTGAGAGTGAAGACTAAGAAAAAGGTGAAGCAAGCTAGAAAGGGAAATGGAGAAGTTGGGTTGCACCCAAATGAAGAAAGAATTTGCAGTGCACATTATCAGCATCGACAAGACAGGAATCAGAGATGGGTTCATTTACCAGTTACAATTTGTGAGTCATTGAGCTGTTTGTTTCCGTGCAAATCTTCGTGTTTTTCAACGAGCGAAAGGGAGAAGGTAGAGAAGGTGAACGGATCCAGAGTAAACGAGGATGGACATATTTCATGCGGTGCGGTGTTTACTAGGTGGTTGGTTTCTTTGAACGATGGCGAGGGAGGGAGGAGGAGGGCGATTGAGCTGGTTATGGGCGGCGGAGATGAGGAGGAGACGACGGAGGTAAGGGAGAAAATGTCGATGAAGAGTTCAAGAAGACATGTTTTTGAGGATATTGAGATTAAGGATGATAGAATCGAAATAAATGGTCAGGTTATAGAAGGAGAAGAGGAAGC